TTGATTGTGCCAGTAAAAATGAAAGTAGCTATTCTATACAAGAAACAAAAATACAAGGAGTACACAGAATTATTTATGAATTAAACCACAGCTACTTTTACCGTATTACTAATTATAATAAGATTTCTTCCCACTTTTAAAATTAGAATATTTTCAGACATTCAGCATAGTTGAAAAATGGTCCAACTTAGCCTTAATCTAGATTTATTAATTGTTAATATTTTCTGATAGTTCTGAACGATTATGACACATTTTTATTTGGGAAGCTGAGGATTTTATTTTGTATGTTTATTTCTTTTCTTTCTTTTTTTTTTTTTTTGGTAGTTTTCTTTTTGGCAATTAGGTAGAGACAAAAAAACAAACAAACAAACAAAAAACCTGTGACAGAATTAATCAATATCAACCTCATGGTATCTGCTACTTTTGACCCTTTCTTTATTCATTTAGGACATAGGGTTAGTTGAATCAGAGCAAGAGAAGAAGAGGAAAAGAAATAAGAAAATCTTTCTTCTATGAAGTATCTTTTCATCTTTTTTTGATGAGTAGTTGCTGCTCTGAAGAATTAACCATGTGCATCAAGGCAGGGTGAATTCCTTTTTCTTCTTATCAAGTGAAGAAAATTCAATCTTTTCTAGGTTATTCTATTTTATCCATCAGAAAATTCACTATGATTTTGGATTCTGATATATTTCCCACAAGCCTGTCTTTAGGGCTGATAGTTTACAGCACTCTTGTTCAAATAAAAAGGATTGGTACCGGAGGATTTATGATATCTAACCTAATTTTCCATCACCATACCTTGACCTTGGCCTTATGAGTTGTAGCCCATACAAAGCAATTGATTGCTACCCTTTAGAGGCAAATGACCCTCTTTAACTCTAGGGCAATAGCTAATAAGGTCTTGATAATTGTGATTTACCCACTGTCAGCTGTGAGCATGCACCTCTCTCAAGCTGCCTTGGATTGACGGGTGCAACTTGTATGATAGGAAGCCAGTTCCAGTGGCTTTCTTCTTTTATTCTTAGCCTCACCAGGGCTCCTAGAATGGGATTGATGAAGTCATTTTTCTTTCATTGTGGTCTTCTATAATGAAATACGGTCAAAATTCATCTTCTCTTGAGCATGCCATTTTTTTCTTGTCAGATCTGCAGTCTTCCCTTGACCGAACCAATTTGTTATCTACAAAAGCAGTGGCTTTGTATTTCCCTTTTGACTCAAGGAGCTCTGGATTGGCCAAAAAGCATTTTCAACTGAAATTTAGTAGGGGCTCAGCTCTTCCCTCAACCAAGACATTTGGTCTCCCTTTTAATGAATTTGAGAGAAAACTAAATGTTTGTTATTGGCAACCCTTTGGACTACTTCAGACTATCTCATTCTTCCAGCATAGTTGATCAGACTTCTATGCAAAGCTAATTTTTCTAGGATTTATGGATGCCTTAGTTATTAGCAGACAGGAGAATAGGACAGTTTGGATTCCCCTCATTTAAATGAATCATCACTTAGGAATTTGTGGAACTCTCAGAGTCTCTTAGTGTTTCTGGCTTATCTAAAGCAAGAGCCTATGAGCATGTGCTATAAAATACTGGATCATAAATAATGCTGGATTTCATATTAATGTGAAAGTAGCTAAAGTGGGAAAAGAAGATACTATTTTCTGATGCCTGGCTCTACTATAGTTGCCCATTTTTATGTATTTTTCTCACTAACTTTTGCTTGGGAGTACTTGAAATAGTACAATCTGAATCAATACTTGCTTTTGTGTTTGTATGGATTTATTGCCTAAATAAAATTGTACTAAATGTTTCTTGGACACAGGAAAATGAAGACTTCTTTATATTCCAACAAAGAAGCATGTTTTGGTTGTCATATTAAATGTAGGACCTCTTATTGCAAAGATGATGTTGATGGCAACATGATGATAATTGGTTCTTAGGCAATATCTCCCAAGATAACTTACTATTAGTACAAATGGAATCATATCAATCATAATGACTTGAATAGCTCTTTCCCACCCACTCCAGTAGGTCTTCACCCTGTAAAGTATTTCTGGGAGTCTTCAGGAGGCATCTGCTGAGTGCTCATAAATTAACACTCTCCAGCCTGACACTGCTATTGCTTTGCCACCTCCACACAGTACTATTTGGGTCCTAGTGTCATGTGTCTGAGTCCTGCATCCTGTTATTGCCTCTGGTGCCCCAAATTTTCACAGAGCCACAACTGTGTGGCATTTGTGGGGAAGAAGCCTGATCACCCTAGAGCTTGGTGTTGCACTCAGCTAGAAAGATCACAACCCACTAACTCCCCAAGCTTCCCATCTGTGCTTTTTCCTTTTATGGCACCTGCTCTTCGTAGAACTCAGGTAGGGATCCTTGGGGCCTGGGGAGCACCATCATTATTATAGTTTATCAACAATCATTGAGCTTTTACTATATGCTTAAAAGTGTGATAAGCCCTTTAACAATTCTTCTTTAAGACTTATGCTATAGGCCCTTAAGCAGAATCCTTTAAATTTTTTACAAAGTAGTTCCTATTACTATGTTCATTTTATAGAGGAAACTGAGGTTTCGCAAGTTAATTTACTCAATGTTATTCAGGATTTATGGATGCCTTAGTTATTAGTAGACAGGAGAATACTAACACATGCAGTCCTCTCTCAAAGCCTGGTGTTTTTTAAAAATATATTTATATTTTAGTTTTAGGTGGATACAATATCTTTATTTTATTTTTATGTGGTGCTGAGGATCGAACTCAGTGCCTCATGCATGGTAGATGAGCATTCTACCTCTGAGCCACAACCCCAGTCCTCAAAGCCTGGCATTTTAATCCCAGAATTCAAAGGGCTGACATTGTTTTTCCCCTCCATTACTCCCCTCACCCCCACAATAATCAAAGCTTCTTTTGTGCATCATGGTCTCCTAGAATAGCAAAAGCAATTCTAAGCAGGAAGTGTGATTCAGGAGGTATAGCGATACCAGATTTCAAACTGTACTACAAAGCAATAGTAACAAAAACAGCATGGTACTGGTACCAAAATAGGCAGGTGGACCAATGGTATAGAATAGAGGACATAGAAACCAATCCACAAAATTACAACTATCTTATATTCGATAAAGGGGCTAAAAGCATGCAATGGAGGAAGGATAGCATCTTCAACAAATGGTGCTGGGAAAACTGGAAATCCATATGCAACAAAATGAAACTGAATCCCTTTCTCTCACCATGCACAAAAGTTAACTCAAAATGGATCAAGGAGCTTGATATCAAATCAGAGACTCTGCGTCAGATAGAAGAAAAAGTTGGCTCCGATATACATATTGTGGGGTTGGGCTCCAAATTCCTTAATAGGACACCCATAGCACAAGAGTTAAAAACAAGAATCAACAAATGGACTTACTCAAACTAAAAAGTTTTTTCTCAGCAAGAGAAACAATAAGAGAGGTAAATAGGGAGCCGACATCCTGGGAACAAATCTTTACTCCTCACACTTCAGATAGAGCCCTAATATCCAGAGTATACAAAGAACTCAAAAAATTAAGCAATAAGAAAACAAATAACCCAATCAACAAATGGGCCAAGGACCTGAACAGACACTTCTCAGAGGAGGATATACAATCAATCAACAAGTACATGAAAAAATGCTCACCATCTCTAGCAGTCAGAGAAATGCAAATCAAAACCACCCTAAGATACCATCTCACTCCAGTAAGATTGGCAGCCATTATGAAGTCAAACAACAACAAATGCTGGCGAGGATGTGGGGAAAAGGGTACACTTGTACATTGCTGGTGGGACTGCAAATTGGTGCGGTCAATTTGGAAAGCAGTATGGAGATTCTTTGGAAAGCTGGGAATGGAACCACCATTTGACCCAGCTATTGTCCTTCTCGGACTATTCCCTGAAGTCCTTAAAAGAGCGTACTATAGGGATACTGCTACATCGATGTTCATAGCAGCACAATTCACAATAGCTAGACTGTGGAACCAACTTAGATGCCCTTCAATAGATGAATGGATTAAAAAATGTGGCATTTATACACAATGGAGTATTACTCAGCACTAAAAAATGACAAAATCATGGAATTTGCAGGGAAATGGATGGCATTAGAGCAGATTATGCTAAGTGAAGCTAGCCAATCCCTAAAAAACAAATGCCAAATGTCTTCTTTGATATAAGGAGAGCAACTAAAAACAGCAGGGAGGAAGAGCATGAGAAAAAGACTAACATTAAACAGGGACGAGAGGTGGGAGGGAAAGGGAGAGAGAGAAGGGAAATTGCATGGAAATGGAAGGTGACCCTCATTGTTATACAAAATTACATATAAGAGGATGTGAGGGGAAAGGGGAAAAAATATCAAGGGAGAGAAATGAATTACAGTAGAAGGGGTAGAGATAGAAGATGGGAGGGGAGGGGAGGGGAGGGGGGATAGTAGAGGATAGGAAAGATAGCAGAATACAACAGTCACTAGTATGGCAATATGTAAAAACGTGGATGTGTAACTGATGTGATTCTGCAATCTATATACGGGGTAAAAATGGGAGTTCATAACCCACTTGAATCAAATGTATGAAATATGTTCATGGTCTCTTCTCCCTTTTTTTTTTATTTTATTTTTTTTTAAATTTTTTTTATTGGTTGTTCAAAACATTATAAAGCTCTTGACATATCATATTTCATACATTAGATTCAAGTTGGTTATGAACTCCCAATTTTACCCCAAATACAGATTGCAGAATCACATCGGTTACACATCCACATTTTTACATAATGCCCTATTAGTAACTGTTGTATTCTGCTACCTTTCCTATCCTCTACCATCCCCCCTCCCTCCCCTCCCATCTTCTCTCTCTACCCCATCCACTGTAATTCATATCTCTCCTTGTTTATTTTCCCATTCCCCTCACAACCTCTTATATGTAATTTTGTATAACAATGAGGGTCTCCCTCCATTACCATGCAATTTCCCTTTTCTCTCCCTTTCCATCCCACCTCATGTATCTGTTTAATGTTAATCTTTTCTTCCTGCTCTTCCTCCCTGCTCTGTTCTTAGTTGCTCTCATTATATCAAAGAAGACATTTGGTATTTGTTTTTTAGGGATTGGCTAGCTTCACTAAGCATAATCTGCTCTAGTGCCATCCATTTCCCTGCAAATTCTATGATTTTGTCATTTTTTAGTGCTGCGTAATACTCCATGGTGTATAAATGCCACATTTTTTTTATCCATTCATCTATTGAAGGGCATCTGGGTTGGTTCCACAGTCTATCTTCTCCCTTTTTTTAGGGGAAGTTTTCTTGCAAGTGGATCTTCAGTCTTTCAGAAAATAAGTTTCAGTTTGGTTATTCCACACATTGTTCAGAAAGATACACATTTATGTGAATTTGGCAATTAAACACAGCATAATTTTCCCCCAGAAGGCACTTTGGTCTTTTTATTTTTAATAAATTGACTTATCCTTACCTACATTTCTGCCAATTCCCAAATTAGGTTTAAAGTGAGTCACTGACCACTCACTGCCTTCCTTGTGCACACGGGTTTATGATTCGTGTCATTATTTCAAAAGAAGGCACTGTTTATAACTCAATTTTCTAGACCAAATTAGAAATGTGTTTTCAACTATCCATAATATGGTTTTACTTAGATCACCCTCTTTTGCCTCATGTAATATGTATAAGATGAGTCTTATTCCACAATCTTATTTTTGTGGGTCAAACTTTCATTCTACCTTTTCCTAAGAATGAAAATTCTGAGAAGTCTTTGACTCTTCCCTTACCTTTATTGCTTATGTCTGGCCAACCACCCAGCCTTCTGTAAGGTCAGGCAACAGCGGCAACCAAAAGGAGGCAGATTTAAAAAGGCTGTTGAAGGAGGCTTTATTGAGATTCCACTCCTGGTCAGAACTCTATCAGACCCACAGAGCAGATAGGAAGAGGGTCTGAGGAGAAACCAAGTGGGGGCTCAACCGGACTGGAACTTTATGGGGCTTAGGGCAGGAAGGGAGGGCTTGGGACAGGAAAAGGGGTTTTAGAGTCCCTTGTCCTGCTGGAGTTGGTTGGGGGAACTGGCTGAAATCCAGGATTGGCCAGGAGACCCCGCTGATTGACAGGCGGTTCTGTTGGTGCCTGATGAATGTTTCTTTTGCGGGTGCCGGCTGCTTGGTGCTTTGTTCCTAAGTCATCTTCATCGACTTGACACCTTCCACACAAGTTTTCTGTCCCTTCTAATACATAATACTATTAAAGTGAAGTTCAAGGTCCATTTAAACAATCACTTAACATTCTAGCTTGGAAAATCTTTGATTCAGTCCCAGGTTTAGTAAGTTTATGTTTACTACTCTAGTCACTCACTCTATGCCACATCTGGACCTTGTCATGTGAAAATGCTCTATCTTAGAAATCTTAAGCTCTGAGACATGTTCTTTGTCCTTTTATTTCCTTATACCTTAATTTTATTTAATTATTTTTATGTAGTACTGAGAATCAAACCCAGTGCCTCACACATGCTAGGTGAGCGCTGTACCACTGAGCCACAATCCCAACCTCTCCTTCTTTTTTATTTTTTTAAGCTTCCTCGGGCCCTCTCACCTCTATATCCTGTGTTCTACATGAATCACTTCCCATGCTTAGGATGCTAGTTTCCTTCAATATCCATTTTCTCCTTTTTGTGCAAAGATAGGATTTCTAGTTTTTAGCTCAGCATATGGCTGTCCCTAGAATAAAGGATTTATTTCCCTTTGCAGACAGTTGTGACCATGTGACTATATTCTGACCAGTGTGATCTGAGGCAGAGCAATTTCCAGACTGTGACTTTAAAAGAAGAGGGTGAGTTCCTTCTTCTTCATTTCTTCTACTCTATTGATTGGAGCGTGAACATGACAATTGCCTTAGACTTTGTAGACAATGACAACCATCAAGGGATGGTGGTGTGACAAGATAGGAAAAGCCTTGTCTCTTAGCAACCTCATGGAATAGGGCAGCCTTGCCGGTTCTCAGATTATGGATGGACTGTTTTATGAGAAACTTCTTATTTAACTCACTTCTCTGTCTCTGCAGCTGAACCTGTAACCTAATTAGAAACCTATTGTCTGTCTTCCCCAGTGGACTGACACTCTGACAGAGTAGGTACTATGTCTTAGTCACCTTGTACTTGTGTTAGTCTAATTCAGAGCTAATTTGTTAGTTCTGGAGGTGGAACTGGAAACAGATTAGTTTTCTTCCTCCAAATTAAAGAAACTCAACGAGATGCAAATATACACAGCATGGTAAAACATAAACTCTAATGCTGCCCCTGTTTCCTAAAACTCAATAGGGAAGGAAGGTGAAGGCCCCTGGGCAGAAGGCCAAGCGTATACAGGGCAAGGTTCCACCACACTGACGGCAAGAAGGAAGACGTGGTAACGTCACAACAAACCACAGGTACTAGACAGAACTCAGTTATTTCTTATCCTGACAGTGGAAGGAGAGAACCCTGTCAGCAGGGTTCTGGAAGCTGGCACAATAGCCAGATTCAGGTCCCGTTGCCTTAGGCTATTCCTTTGGGTGGGGTCCAGATGCTGAAAAGAACTCATGCCTGTGGTCTCAGCATCCTCATTACATCATGAGCAGTTAGGTATCTAAGAATTGAACTCCACAATCACATTAAATGTGAGCAGACATTTAGGAGCTGGGCTTCCCAGATAAAAATTACTCAATTCTATGAAATATAAGGATAAAAACCAATAACACACTTACATTAAAAAATTTTTTGTAGGGCTAGGGATGTGGCTCAAGCGGTAGTGCGCTCGCCTGGCATGTGCGTGGCACTGGGTTCGATCCCCAGCACCACATAAAAATAAAGATGTTGTATCCACCGAAAACTAAAAAATAAATATTAAAAAAAATTCTCTCTCTCTCTCTCTCTTTAAATTTTTTTTTTTTTTTTTTTTTTGTGCCGGCATTGCCCAACCAGAAGATCGAAACCAAACCAGTTATTTGAACAAAGAGAATTTTGTAGAATTATTAACTAGGCCTAAAGTTGTTAACTAGGCAACTGAAAAGGCAGAAAAAGAACACCAGGATATTACAGAGATGGCAACTGCAGGAAGCAGCCACCACCCACAGAACCTGAGAACAAAGGTTGGGATCATTAAAACTTAGAAATATGGGGAGGGGCCTGTGAGAAGGAGCTGTTGGTGCTTTCCTGGGGCTGTTGATTTTGAACTTCCAGAATGGGATCTATAGCTTTGGGAACCAGACCTCTAGGAAGGAGGCACCACATGAATAAAAACAGTACTACATGTGATCTGCCTCTGATTTAGTGGTGGCACCATTTTGGTTCACTTGAGTGTAATGCAGACACCTGGTGGCTTCATTTTTTTTGTGCTGGAATGAACATGTGATGACTCCTTTGGATATTGATTCTGTGTGCTTTTTTTCTAGGTCTTGCTCCTTTGTTCCTGCCGGCCTTCTTTTCTTTTGTTTGAAGGATTGAGTGAGCCACATCCCCAGCCCTTTTTATATTTTTATTTAAATATAAAATAAATAAGGGTCTCTCTGAATTGATTTAGAACCTTGCTAAGTTGCTGAAGCTGACTTTGAACTCTTGATCCTCCTGCCTCAGCCTCCTGAGCCACTGGGGTTAGGGGCATGCGCCACTGCATCCGCTCTTTCCTTCCTTATTTATTTTTATTTTTAGTGGTAATTGGGATTGAATCCAGGACTTCATGCATGCTGAAAAAACAAAACAAAACAAAATAAATAAACCCTGAGAACTAGATTTGAATATTTCTTGGCAAAGCCTAACAAGGAAACTGTTGACCAAACAGACGTTTGGTTTGTAGAGTCCCACCCAGCTCCAGCACTGCAGGGTAGACCATTGAAAGATGGGCTGAAGCTAAGAGATTATAGGTTTGAAATCTGTATACACTTCAGTGGTATTTAAATTCAGACTGTTTCACTTGGGTCAGTCAGCATTTTAGGCAAGGCCTACATACCTCAACTACTTAAGGGATAATATGGTGACTAGAGGAAGAGCATCTTTTTAATAAAATGGCATTTGGATTGTTCCAGGAGTTTGAGGCAGACAGAGATCATAGGATTGGTGACAAGAAGTACCTTGAAGGATGAGAAGGAGTTTGTTAGGTGAACAGGGAAGAACAGAAAGAATAATAGATGCAAAGGCCAGAAAGTGAACCCAAGCTTAAATGGGCTGAGTTTCTCAGGGTAAAGCCTAAGATACTCTAGTCTGTGAGCTTTCCAAGGACAAAGCAGGACTTAGAGCACAGGGGCCTAGAGAGAGCAGAGGCTTCCCAGGATAGTGTTCTTACCCATTATAATGATTAGGACCTTATCACTCCTTTCTGTTTAAGGATAATGTTGTATGTTGGAAAAACTTAGACAAGTTAGTTAAACCTCTGAGAAAAGAATATTATTCTCATTTGACAAATAAGGAGACAAAGGCTTTAATAAGGTAAAGTAGCACACCTGTGATCACGGAGTCATCCTAATTCCCTAATTTCCAACTGGACATCTCTACCTGGGGATTCTTATGGATTCTCCAACTAAGCCTGTTCTAATAAGACCTCTTTCCCTTCCTTTGCTCCTAGCTCCAGACCTTTCTGGAACTCTGAAATCAATTGGTAATCTCTGGAATCCCTGGATTCCTTCTGTTCTGCTGCCATATCACTACCTCACCCCATATAATCAGTCACCAAATCTTGTAAATTTGACCTGCTGAATATTCATCTTTCTACTCTCTATCATTGTTGGTTTGTCTTAATTCAAATCTTACTTGATTGCTGTGAAAATTCCCCTCTGGTCTCTCTGCTTCCAAGGCCCTGTCCTCTTCCAATCTGGGCATCATTCTGAGGCCAGAGAAATGTTTCGAAACTGCAAATCTGACCACTTCATTCGCCTTCTTAAGACTTTCTGATCGCTCTCATGGCCTAATGGATAAAACCTAAGCTTCTTAATTCATAGTAAGACCACTGTAATGTGGTTCCTACCAATTTCTCCAGCTTCACTGACCACTGTCTATCTTAACATGGGGCAAGAGGATAATCCTGGCCAGGAAAACGAGATCAGAGTTCAAGTTCCTCCCTCTACTGACTAAGCTATGGACAGGAAGTTGCAATGATGCCATACTGTCTTCTGCCTTTGGGCAGGTGATCTGCCTCTAATTTAGTGGTTGCACCACTTTGGTTCACTTGAGTGCAGCTGTAATGCAGACACCTGGTGGCTTCATTTTTTTGTGTGTGTGTGTGCCAGAATAAACATGTGATGACTCCTTTAGATATTGTTTCTGTGTTCTTTTTCTAGGTCCTGCTCCTTTTTTTCTTCCTTCTTATTTATTTTTTATTTTTAGTGGTGATTAGAATTGAACCTAGGACTTCATGCATGCTAGGCAAGAACTCTACCACTGAACTACATCCCCAGTTCCTCCTCCTCCTTCTTCCATGTATTTATTTGATAAGAATCTTTTCATGCAAAGGGTAAAGATCCATTCCAAACTGACTTAAGCTCACAAGAGGAATTTATTGACTTATTTAACTGGGAAATCTGAGTGGAGCTGGATCCAGGGATACAAATACCTGCCCCCCCCACACACTTCCCTTTCTGTTTTGCTGCTTTCTCTGTGTGTCAGATATACTCTTTCCTATTTCAAGATGTGCTTCCTGTGGGCAGGGGTGAAGTGTGGCATGTCTGCAAGAGTACTAAACCCATGTCATCCCAGCCCAGGCAGCCCAGAGGAATAGAGAGTGTTTCTTAACATCTTTTTATAAAATCCTGAGGGAAGACTGGTTCTTCTTTCCTCACAGTGCCCCCCCAGCACTCCCCTCCCCTAATCCCTAGAACCAGGAGGAAGGGAAGCAATAATTACACAGCCTGGATCAGAAACCTATTTCTGTGGTCAAGGTATGGGGCACTGGGAGTGGGTAGTTACCCAAATAAAAGGTGGTTACTATTAGAATTTAAAGGAAATGAATGCTGGTACTATTAGGAAAACATATATTTATCTTAAGTCTCCGAGCTACAAATGGTTACTGGTACTATTAGAATATTAGAATGTGGGTACTATTAGAATTTAAAGGAAATGAATGCACCCCCACCCCCAGGCCCTGCAAAAGGAAGAAAGCAAGAAAGACAACCAAGGAACTTCTTAGGCACAGGGCAGTTCCTTTATGCACATAGCCTCTTTCAGAAAACTACATATGACACTGGCTGCTATAGTTTGGATCTGGGATGTTCCCACAAGGCTCTTGTATTAAAGGCTTTTTCCCCAGTGGGGCACCATGGAGAAGTGGTGGAAAGTTTAAGAAGTGGGGCCTAGTAGCTACGTGGTCTAAGGTCATTTAGGGTGTACCCTTGAAGGGAATAGTGAGGCCTAATCTCAGCTTCTCCCACCATGCTCTCCCACCTCACGTGCTGCCTTACCACAGGCCCCAGAGCATGGGGCCAACTGAGTGTGGACTGAAACCCCTAAAGCTGTAAGCCAAAATAAAACTTTTCTATTTTTAAGATAATTAGTCTAGATATTTTGTAACAATAATGGAAAGTCGACAAACACTCACTGTTTTATAGAAGAGGAAACAAAGGCTTAGAAAATTTAAATTACTCAAAGTCACCAGCTAGTCAGTCTGACTCCAGGCCCATGCACTTTACATTATGCTATACTTTATGCTTCACCAACCTTTTCCTCACTGGGGAATCTTCTGTCTTGGTGTTATTCACAAATGACCCCACGTGACTTTTCAAATTGACCTTCAGTCACATTGGCTGACTTATGTTTTCCCAACATCGAAGGTGTACTTTTATGAGCTTATATGTAGAATGAGGTTAATGAACCAGTACTTTCCACACATGGAGCTTAATATGATTGCTGAGGTGAAAATGAAGGAGGCTGAACCGTTTTATAGAATCAGGGCTGACAAGTATACACTAAGAAGACCAAAGCACACCTATTTGTGTTTTTAATCAGTGTTGCAAGTATTCGTTTTAAAAAAGCAAAAGCCTATAAATATATTTGCATTTATTCTTTTAATTTTTATTGTTTAAGTTAAAAATCATTAACTTTGGCTTGTCACTGTTAAAAATTTTAAGCATATGGGTAAATAACAGTCAAAAATTCTGAAATATAATTTAGCCTTGACATATGAGCTACATAGTGTACATACTGTGCTAAGGAAAGAGGTCAATGTGTCTGCTATATATAATTAAAATTGACTCACCTATTCAGTGAAGAAAAACTGAGAAAAGGAATTAATATGGATGCTAGTCTCATTTTGGTCACAGAATACTTCAGTAGGCTGGGGGTGACTCTTAAGACACTTGAAAAACACTTATTTTTCTTAAGTATCTGAGCTACAAATGGTTAGATTCCTCCAGGATTATAAGCCCAGTCAGGAAGCTTTCAGAATTTCAGGGGGGTATAGGGACTGATTCCTGTTTCATTTTGGTGTTTATTATTGTTCTGTGGGCTGGCTGCCACAAAGGGGCCAGAGAGACTGCCGTGCTTATAGGCTGGTCAATTATGGTGCTCTTCCCTTAGAATCATCTGCTAGGGGTGGGAGAGTCACAATTGATTCCACTCTCTTGGTCAGGGGTGCACATCCATTCCAAAATTAGGCTGTAAGTTGGTCAATGGCTTATAAGATGTTTTAATGCCAAGAATTTGCCCAAATTATTATGATAATGCGCATACTGGAATAAGCCACTTCTTTGTCTTAAGACAACCAAGATACATAGTGAGTTGATTGTGGGAGCAGGTGATGAAAAGTCATACAGATAGAGGGCAGTTTGCAGATGTCATGAGCCCTCAAAGCTACAAGTAAGCTCATGTCAAGAGGAAGGAAAAAGGCATTTAGTGCTCCTAGCAGTGTAGCCTCAGCTGTGTCTGGCCAGTGGTTAACACTTGTTCCTTAAATGGGGTTTCCTAGGCAAGCACATTTGGGAAATACCACATCCGTGTTCCCCTTCTGGAGAGTTCCACAATGCTTTGGCACAATAAAGAATTACTAATCTTACAGAAAGACACTAGACAGACATTGGGTCTGTTTTACACTCTTAATATTAACTCAGTGTTTTCTAGACCTATTGGATGACTGAACTCTCACCTGTTAACATATTTTTATGACACTTGTGTTCCATGGAACAGAGCAGGAGCAGGCCTATATGGATGGGAGCAAAAGGAGGGGTGGTAGCAGAAACAGAGAGGTTGCTCTGTCCCTATGTCAGGGGAGTCCCAGAAGTCCTTTGCTAAGGGGGTGATAAACATGTCTGGTCATTGGGTCTGTTTTACACTCTGAGCTGCCAAATAGTCATTTCGAGGTCTAGGGTGGTTGCCCTTGGGCTGCCATTGTATTTTAGTGTTTCTTATCTCTGGGGGTATCCTTATCTCCAACCTCCACTAATTAAGATGAATTGAGTGAGTCTTTTCCCTTGCAACTTAGAGTCTGAGTAGTTTGTAACAGGATTTTAAATGTGACTTTCTAGCTGTCTCCTCAGAATACTACGACAGGTGACAAATGTCCCTACTTCCTCAGGAGATGCTGAAACAAGTGTGGCATTTGTTAAGAGATTATGGTATTGCCAGCATTAGCTCCTGATGTGCTCCAGGTGAGGTGAAGAGGGTAGAGAATTCACCCTGGGTATGGACAGTGAGAATTCTTTGGAGAGAGGGTTGTCCGTGTATCTTCCTGAGGGTAGGGAGATTGCTCCCCTAGGGTTGTAAGCCAAGTGAGGAAGCCTTTGGGGTTTCAGGGCTGTTGTGACTTGTACCTGATTTGTTCTGAGTAGAGTTGGCAGAGTGAGATGAGGAGGTAGGGTGGAGAAATTGTGCTCCTACTGGTGGAGGGTTAAAGTGTGAACAGGTGAGGACCCAGGGCAAGAAGTGAGACTTGGGTTATCTTAACAAAGAGGATCTTCTGGAGGGCAAGAAAGACCCAGCATCAGGTAGCTAAAGGAAAACAGTAGGAAACTACAGCTGAGGGGAAGGTACTGGGGGCCAATTAGGGGAGGTCCCACCCATACTGGTGATTATAGTAGGGTCCTCGTGAGGAGGAGGGTACCCTAATGAGGGCGGAAGAACCAGTAATTTAGTATTTGCGCACAGAAGCCTGCTTTCAACTAACAACTCCTCTGGCACAGGAAGACTTCAATGTCCCTGCCTTTCCCTTTCCACCACTCTCTCAACCTGGGGGGAAACCAGGGGCAGCAGAGAGCATGGGAAAGGATTGATGATGCTGTACTTATCCCCATTTACATAGCAGATTTCCCAGCTCAGGTGGGTCCCAACTAGGGGCATGGAGATATTTTAATTGATAAGAGTTGGAGGTTGAGCTGTAGGGCCAGACTAGATGTTTTGCTTAAAAAATTAGGCAAGTGGCTGGAGAATCAATAAGACTGAGGCTGGGAAGTAGGAGGTCCACATGCAAATTCTGCAGGACTGGTCATGCTTTGCCTTATTTAATTCTGTACTCCATACTATGGGAATAGGGCAAAGCTAAAAATCAGTTTGAAGAGTTTGTACTGTGTCCTAAGTAATTAATCCACATGAACTAACTCTAACATAGAACATCATGGACATGTAATATAATTAACACCAATTAATATGTATTTCATTAATGAACATTTATGAAGCACCTTGGCTGGGTTCTGGAGCTACAGGATGACTAAGAGCTGCTTCCTGTCTTTAAAAACACACAGTCTAGTTGTAAAAGTCCAAGTCTTGCCTGAGGGTGCTGGGGATTGAACATAGGGCCACATGCATGCTAGGCAAGAGCTCTACCAATTAGGTGCACCCCACAGCCCTAGGTGGGTTTTTTACTTCAGATTGCCAAAGAATAAGACATGTTAGTTTTGACACTGGTTTAAATGCATTTTCACCTTAAAGTCTGATTCAGTAGGTCTAAGGTAGGACCCAAGAATTTGTATTTTCATAAGCATCTTGTTCTACAGGATGGAAATAATAATGTAGCTCTCTAAACAGCACCACACACCAAAGCAGCTCCTACTGTATTAGGTCATGTGTTATTGATCAACACAGAATTTGCCTCAGAATCCAGGACAGTATTAGTCAATCATGTGGAGAAAGCAAAATTTCTGCCTGCTCTTTATTACATCAAATGAAAACAACTAGACAGATTCTCACCAAATTAGAAGAGCTTGTTTGTGTTTGTCTGATGTAAAATAAGGGACAAAGGAAATTTATTTTAGGAATGTCTGAGGAGTGTCCTTCAAAGACATACAGCCATATTGAGAGCTGTGCCTAGTGCTGATTTCTAAAGACACTG